TGTCACGTTATTATGAGAGTGCTCTCATACTTGTTTGATTCTGAAATTGTATATATTTATATAAATATATGTGTGTGGTATATGTCCGCATCTGTAGCCTGTTATTGTCTCATTATACCGCACTGTCAATGCATTAAAAGTAAATATATATAAGTGGTCATGAACACATCTGTCCATCAGAGTGCTGCTGTGCCTCCTGTCATCATTAATGGACGTCTCTTTAAAATGACCGCTCAGAGGAGAGGAGTTCTCATTTCTCTAACCGCCTACTGCTTCCACTCCTCTCTCCTCGGTTCCCCTCCTCAGTACTCCGCTCGCATCTCTTGTGGGTGGCACCAAGTCTTGAGGAGAGGAGTCGAGGATAGGAGAAACCTCTTTTGAAATATCTCTGTTCCCGGAAATGCATCTACGAAGGAGCCGTGGAGGACCCATCAGTGTATCCTCCTCGGTTATAGCTCCTCCAGAGAGCCTCCTCGATGCTCGAAGTGCATTTAGAGAAATGAGATGTCCTTCAACATGGCGCGCTGAAATTCATTTCCGGGTCACTACCGGAGGACCGAGGAGTCGAGGAGGGGGATTTGATGAAATGAGAAAGGGCCAGAGAGATTCTATTATATTCTATTATACTATTCTATTAGTTTCTATTCTATGGCTCTGGAGTAGCCTATTGAGAAGCCTCTCTTGTCTGATCTTCTTCTTTCATGTCCTCCTTGCACCTCTGTTTGTTCCTGTCAGTTTTTGTCTATATGCTAACAGTTTTTGGATTTATTCTTGTTTCTTCATGGTAAACAGCCTTTTTGTTCAATAAAGCTCGCTTTTCGTTTAAAACCCGCTTCTACTCATCCTGCATTTGGGTCCTGAATTTCCCCAACCTTGACAAGAACCTGAAACCACATTTTACAACTTAAATAAAAAACACAAAGCTGCACATATGCGTGTGGAAAGTAAGACACAGTTAAGGTTTGTTAACACAAAGTGAGCATTTTATGAGTTCAATGACTTATAACTTTAGAAGAAGCCTAAATAATAATAAAAATAATTTGGATTTATATAGCTATAGCATTTCAAGAAACCCAAGGAGGATTTTTGTCCCCCCACGGCAAAAAGGAAAAACAAATATGAAGATAAAAAAGTGAAATAAACAAAAGCTGGTCACAAAAATCTTAATTAGTGTTTATTTGGTTGGACTATTGGCTAGTTAAATTAAACATTTGTTACAAACAAACAGCATTTCTCAATTCACTCAAAGTTAAAGCTATCTTAAGTTCTTCACCACACCATCTCAGCGGCACAAAAGAAACCTATTTATTATATTTAAAGCTCCAGCTCTCCCCGTGTCTCCTTCCTGAGTCGGTGCACTCCCACTGCATTGCTACACAGAAGTTTCTCCCACAATAGTAATATGAAATTATTTCTAAAATACAATTTCAGACAACTTCATGAGAATAGGACAAATGCTAGCTGATTAATAAGAGTCAAACACAATTTATTTTTACAAGCAGTTATAATGCAGTGCCCTCGCTCCATTACTCATTGGCGTCTAACGGCACACAGCTCATGAGGTGACGGGCTGAGGGTGAAGCCCACAGCTGGAGTGAGATCCAGTTCATCCTCTGTAACTCCAGGTGGAGGAGTGTAACGAAAGCGCTGGAGGAGGAAGGTGAAGAAGAGGAACAGCTCCATCTTGGCCAGACTCTCCCCCAGACACGCCCTGCGACCTTTGAGAGAAAAATGAGATTTGCATTTAGTTAAACTGGATCACATCTTTAAAATGGTAATATATTTAAATACAAAGTTGGTACCTGCAGAAAATGGCATGAAGGCATCCCTCCTGACAAATTTACCCTCCTTATCCAGGAAGTGGGAAGGGTTGAAAGTGTGTGGTGTTTCCCATTCACTCTCATCATACAGGACAGAAGTAAGAAGAGGAAGCACAGTAGTCCCCTGTAGGAAAAAGCGGAGAGCAAGGTGAATCATAACAAGTATGGAGAGAATGAGGATCTTTGGCATATTTTGTTGTGGCTAAGTATTGAAACACCTTAAAACCTGACCTCTTTGATGAAGTATCCTTGGAAGGTGACATCTCGGCTGGTTTTATGAGGAATGGCCATGGGGACAATGTTGGCCAGTCTCTGTATCTCATGGATGACAGCCTCAGTGTACGGCAGGTTCTTCCGGTCATCGACCCCTGCCTGGCGGCTTCCTATCACTCTGTTCAGCTCCTCCTGGACCTGGTCTGAACACACAAAATCAATAACTGCTAATAATATATTTATTAATAAGTTATTTGTATCTTGACTAAGAGTTCACAGCCCTGCCAGTGGCTTTGTGAAGCTGTACTTTTGGGGTAAAATGCTAAAGTCAGCATGCTAACCTGTTCAAAATGACGATGCCATCAGATGTATCGTTTACCATGTTTACCATAATGGTTTATAATCACTAAACGCAAAGTGCAGCCGAGGCTGATGGGAATGTAATTTGCTTTACATTTCCTCTGCCTTCGAAATCTACAGAAGAAACATTTTCTGTAATATAGTTTTAAGGGGACCTATCATGCAAAATGCACTTTTGTACATCTTTTACACATGAATATGTGTCCCCGGTGTGTCAGGGAACTCACCAAGTGACAGAAAACACAACCGTCTCTTTTCCTCCATACCCAAATCTCTAAAAACGGGGCTGCAACGGATCTGATACAGACTGATACAGATTTGAAATATCTCTGACATCAGAAACGAGGAGCTCCACCTATATGGGCAACTCTCCACCTATCAGGGGAATGGGGGGTTGCCGTGGCATGGTAACAGCATGGTAACATGACGCTCGTGCCTCGCCCCCCTCCTTTGCAGGGGGGCGTGGTCAGTTGCAGCTCATTTGCCACAGAATCAGCCCTTGCAAAAACAGGGCTGGAATACAGCAAATAGAGCGAAATGAGGCATGGCTAAAATGCATGATCTGTTTGGTATTTTGAAAAAAAAACTTCAGACATGTTTTATATAGGTATGGCCCTACAATATATATTTCAAATATAGCATGATAGGTCCACTTTAAGTAAGACTGGTATTCCCTGAAATAAAGCCTGCATAAAAACACAATCAACTCAAAAAAAGGTAAAAGCAAAAAAAAGGTTTCAAAAGGGTAGTGACTTAAGAGGGAGGCCTAAAACTACCGTACTCTTGTTAACTCACGGAGGTTACTTACTTAGCTTTATTTCAATGCCTGCTAATTTCCCTTAAGTGGTTTCCAGCATATATGGTCTATCGTAATATATATTTGAACTTATATAATAATAACCTAATTTTATTCTATCTAAACTTTATTCATTTGATGGGCACCCACAGGTGAAAATATAAATGCAAGCCTACAAGCCTCATCTTTAATTTACCTTGTACATGCGGATATTTAGCCATAAGCAGCAAACCCCATCTCAGTGTAGTTGCTGTGGTGTCGGTACCAGCAGAAAACAGGTTGGTTATTGTAAATATCAAATTCTTCTCGTTGTAGTGACTGTCCTTCACACCAGAGTCCTGAGAGAAGCACCCACATATTGTTAGAAAATACAATGTTCTCTTTGTTTGATGCATATGCAGTGAGGTTGTCTTACTTCGTCTTTCTCCTTCCGAATCAGAAAACAATCGACAAGCCCTCTGCAGAAGCTAGGGTTCAGAGTCTCTTTCAGATTATTGACTAAAGCCTTGACATCTCTTATGGTCATCTCAACATTTCGTAAAAGCAGCTGACGGTTCTTTATCCAACTGACCAGCCTGGGAAACATGTTGTAGAGCTGTGAAAAACAACAAAGATTAATGAAGAAAATGCACACCCAACATATATACTAGACCCTCCAGAAAAACGCAGGCAAAAATCCTTGATTATGCGGGCTAAAATCCTTGATTATGCGATAAAACATGCGGGGTTTTATGTGATTTTATGCGGTGAAACTGCGGGAAGTTGCGAAATATGCGGAAAGTTGCGAAATATGCGGGAAAAAATTATCGATTATTTTTTTAATATTGGGCTGTCTTATTTATTCTCTCTCACACACAACCTGCCACTAACGTTAAACCCCTTTACTATTCAATTAAACACATTCAATGTTTATTTATTGTAAAAGCAATTGGGCTATTTTAAACACACACACACACACACACACACATACACTTCGCCGCCTCATTCTGTTTTCATTTACTCGTTCGTTATCTGCCAGCTTCAATCTTGTAGGCTACTCACTTCGTTTCTTGTAGCCCTCGAAAGGGTTTTGGAGGTTGATGCCTCGGTGAACGTGAGTTGTTTGGCTTTCTTGTCCGCAGCAGCAGAAAGCATTTTCGAATTTTTGAATGAATCAAAGTGGGTCGTCACCGTCGATTTTCTCTTATGCTCCAACACACAGTTGCACGGGGTGCAGAATAGTTTCCCCCCACTTTTTGCCCGGTCTTTAGTAGAAATGTTCGTCGGTAAATGAGATGGATTAGATATTTTCATCTTGGTGTTTTCTCTACCGTGTGAGCTCCACACGTTCACTCTATACAGTGTTGTTTACATTCTGTGATGCGCGAGCTGATGACGTCACGTCAAGACGAGTTAACTTTTTTTTCTTCTCAACTTTGTGTGGAAAAATGCGGGGATTATGCGGCCTTTTGATAAATATGCGGCCTTTTAAAAATCTGCGCCATTTTGCTGATTATGCGGTAAATTCTGCGATCGCAGAATCGCGTTTTTCTGGAGGGTCTAATTTCTTGATTTACTTTCGTATATTGACTTGAAATCCATGTCCTTGACGTTGAGTTGTTCCAGTGCAGTTTTCAGAATGAATCTTTGTCTGTTATAAAGACACTTAAGATATTCATTGCTATCGGGATGTTAAGAGCATTCCATGGAATATAACAAAAAGTGTATCTCGAGCCGGTTTCTCAAACTTACCTACCCCACCTTTAAGACACACCTGATCAGTTATTTGATACAGTAAAATAAATGTTTCCCATCTCCATACCTTTAGTTTCAATCATTCTTTTATTGTTTTGTCAGTTAAATGTTACCCTAAAGCAACTATTTAAGCTGATACTAGAATGGTGCTCCACCAGCACCTTGTGTAAAGAGATAATGGATGTTTACCCAAACATACAACAACAGACACATTTCTTACACCAACCAGCCCAAATCTGTATAAAAGACCTGAAGACAGTACTAAACCTTCTATTGGACTCTCTGCTAAAAGCTTATGGTGTTGACCATTTGCAAAAATATT